TCGGTTTACTTGTCTTAAGTATAAGCTTGTTTTTACTTAGGCTAGTATTTTTTATTTTTATTTATTTTATTTTTTTTTTAATATTGAATTATAACATTTCAATGCATCAAAATTTTGATAGGATAAAAATCCTATTTAAAGCTATACATATATATATATATATATATATATATAGCTTTAAGTAGGATTTTTATCCTATCAAAATTAGGAGTATAATTTTGATAGGATAAAAATATATATTATATCAAAATAAATATTATATCTGTAATAGGGGGCCCTGCAGTAAGTCATAGCCCCGGGGCCCTGTAAGGTCTTAATGCGGCCCTGGTGATCTGCATTAAGAGTTAACACCAACACACTGCTAATTAATACTAACACATGTCTTTTACTGTAGGCTTGACGTCCTCTCAACCACAGACGGTCCCTGTCATCAATAACATAGGGGGAGGCTTTACTACCCTTCAGCCAATCTCGTTTCAGCAGCAGCTTCACACCTCACCTCAGCAGCCAATAACACAGCAGTTTCAGAGCCACATTTGCCCAAGCTCCTTCATGGCAACAATGGCACAATTACCATGCCACAGTATGTACTTAATTAGAGGTCTGAGTAATTAATTAGTGGTGCATCAAGACAAGAGTTACTATATAGTAACTACAGTAGCCTTAAAAAGTTAGACAAACGTCTAACTAAATTGTTTTAGAAAAAAAAAAACTTTCCATGAAACAATGTATAAATAGTGTTTTTGTCCTAACGATTTGAGAACATTTTTAAAGACCAGATACTGTAACTTTGAACACACATTCTACTAACATTACTGGAAGACAGTTATATTACTTTATAACTTTGATAGAACATTAGCCAAAGTTCTGAAAACGCTACCAGTTAGCAGTTATACACTTTATACTAGCATGGCGGTGGTGAGTTTTAAATGGACAAGCACCATTCAAAGACCTAGTTTGTCTCATTTCAGAGATGTAGTGTGGACTTAACCAAAAATTCTACTTTAATACTGCATGTGTTTCAGTGTACAGCAAGGCAGACCTGAGCTCTTACACCTCCAGTCTCCTGTCCCAGGCCATGGTCATCGCAGACAGCAACAGCATCGGGACGCTGACTAACCTCACATCTGTTCGACAGGCATGAACCAGACACAAACTCATCACACTGACATGATTACATGCACATAATTTTCAGATTAAGGGCTATATAATAATCGGCTTGTGAATCTACATTAATTCTTTTAAATAATCTATAATTTTCCTCTCCACCAGATTCTCACCTCAGATCCTGAGGGTCACTCAGACACTCCCATTGAAGAAGAGTCTTTACATCTGCAGTCCACTTCACCTGAGCCAGGTACAGACCCTTGCAGACCTTGTGCTTAATCTAGCCATATTCAGATGTTTCTGTTATAAAACATCTGTTTAATTACATTTCCAGTGTCTTCTGGCAGTTTGGAGCTCTACCCTCAGACACACACGAGTGAAACCCATTCTTCTCACCTGCTCTCCTCTCCACCCGGAGATATAGACCCTTACATGCCTACACAGATGGTCTCTACTGCACAGTAGCTGCAGCTACTGATGGAAATACCACTGAGAGCTGGTCTAACTCTTTCAAATACATTAGAGAGCAAAATTAAATTAAATAAATATTAGCAGTCCTTCTAAAAAACAAACTGCCACATTGCTACCTGCTGCCTACCCACACAGAGGAGGAAGAAGAAAAACTTTAAACTCTATAAAATCATTAAAACCTTTAAATTATGCTCCATAAAAGAACTGAGTTCAATTCAATATGGAATCTTTTGTGAACACTGTACATAAATTACTGTAAAAATATAAATGTCATCGTTCTAGATTTCTGTGTCTAGTCAGGCTGTAAGACTGATTAAAATTAATAAAAAGTTTCGAAAAATACTTTCTAGTAAAATGGCAAAATAAACATACTTTATTGATGTTTTAGAGGGGATTTATAGCATGAAAACCTGTTTCTTGCTAATTTAGAGTCTTCTCTAAGTTTTGCAGTCAACTGTTACTATACAATGAATGTCATAAAAATATACAACCACCAAGAACAGCATTTACAGGATAATAGACCTTAGGTTAGTCACCATATTGAATTTTACGCAGATGAAAACAAGGCTGTCCTAGATCTCATAATTTTTTTTTTTTTTTTTTTTACAAATCACAACTTTCAAAACTGTTTTATGGAGTTCTTGTCTATTGATTTTTTTCAGAAAGACGTTTCATCGGCTGAACACTGTTTTTAAACAACAGTACAATCCTATAAACACACAGCACTTATTTATCCCTCACAGCCTCGTCTTCATTCCAGTCAAAAATTAAATATGGCGCTACCCTGACTGAGGTCTATTACTTCAACACAATAAAGTCAATAGGTTACTGTCGTAACCCCGGTTCTCTGAAACATTGAGTGGAGAGATCCACCTATGGGAAGGGCATCCTTACCTGACCTCTGCAGAAGCATCCAATTGCACCAAGTCTGGCTAGACAGACAGAAGCGCGCAGCCAATGCCAGGTAAGGCACCACCCCCTTACCTGAGAGGATATAAGGCCTGCACGCGACGCTATTCTCCAGTAAGTATATTCGCTTCTCGTGCGGCAAGCGGGGCAAAGCTGGTGGATCTCTCCACTCGATGTTTCAGAGAACCGGGGTTACGACAGTAACCTATTGTTCTCTTTCATCATCTCGTGTTTGAGATCCACCTATGGGAGAGACATGGACAGCTCCCCGATTGCCCAATACACTCACAGTGAGGTTCTTTAAGCCAGAGAAGGACGGTCACCCCAAGGGGGCGGGGTGCCTGACACGTCCCATAATCATGCACCTGACAATCCTGACACACACACACATGACTGCTGTGCACAGGCAGGACTTGAAACATGTATGAGGCCCACACATGTAAATAAATCCAGCAACACATATGAAACATCCAGGCAGGAAAATAAATGCATGCTTGGTGACATGAATGTGCGTGGCCCGACGGCCCATTCACCCTTCGTTCCTTTACTACAATGTGTAAATGGGAAGGAAGAGAGGAAGGTAACAAGGAGCTATGAAGACCCCACCCCTAAAACAGAATGTGCTACCGAAGTTTTGGTGACATCCAGTCGGTAGTAACGCACAAACGTATGGGGAGAGGCCCAGCTGGCAGCAGAGCAGATGTCCTGCAGTGACACTCTCCCGAACAAGGCCCAAGAGGCAGCTAAGCCCCTCGTGGAATGAGCTCTGATGTTCCCTGGGGGCTGCACACCCATCGATTCATATGCCAAAGCAATAGCTTCCACAAGCCAATGTGAAAGGCGTTGCTTAGATATGGGACTCCCCCTGTGCGGGGGCGCCCATGAAATAAAGAGCTGGTCGCTCTTCCTGAAAGCACTGGTCCTAGTC